TGAATTGTAATAATAAGAAACTGAACGGCTATCATGGAAGAGACACTGGTTTAGTCATCCCTAAAATCTGATTGAGAAAGGTTTCTACAAGGGAGGGGATTCCCCTCACTTCTAGGAGAGGCACATGAAACTAGATAAGGTGATAAGATTCTCCAAGACTGCTATCTCTGTGTGTCAAGAGATAAGATTTAATTCCTCTCCTGCTCCCCCAAAGTTCTATTGTGGCTGCTTTTATATATTTCTATCTTTTGTCTGCATAAGTTTATTGTAAAATACAGAAAATTCCTTGAAATTTGCCACAGTTTATTTTTCCTCTTCTGTTGTTTGTTTTCAGTCTACTGCAGAAATATGATCACTACAGCACTGCTTGCCAAAATGCCACAGAAACAGGGTAGGGAGAGTAATGGTGATCTTGCCAAAGAATTTAGGTCCAATATGCTGCACAGTGTAGAGAGCACTCTGCCTCCTATAGGCAGTGACACACTGGTTGGTTTTTGAGACACTGCGTCCCTACTTTGTCTTAGGCTTAAATGTATTTGCACTCAATCAGAATGCTGCACAGTATAATGCATTTAGGTGTCTGCTTTGCCACTAGGGGATTAAAATTGTTTTAATGGGCTAGTTTGCTTAAATTTCCTGTCTCATCCTTCTTCCCAGCTTTGCTGTAGTCATGCACAACTTAAAACTGGAGGATGAGTGTAAGTGTGCAAAAGGGTATTTTAGGGTGGGATTGTTAGAATATATCACAAAACAAACATAAATATTTCCTGAACTAGAATAGGAAATTGTACTTACAGACCTGAAAGTCTGTAAGTTGTATGGATATGTTGTCATTAAACAGAGGATCAACATATATCACTGTATGCAAAATCCCTTACATCTGTCAATTTTCCCGTTATCCTGTTGAGAAATATCCTCCCCCTCCCCAAATCTTGAAGAAAACACTTTGTTAAGTCTACATTTTCCATTGTCCTTTCAGAATGTTTATGGTTGAATGAGGGATTGAAGGATCTCTAAAAAACCTTGGGTTTAATCTGATACAAGAAGGAATGTTGACTTTTTAAGGAATATGCATTTCGCTTTCCTGAAGAACCTCATTGTATCTGTGGTGAGGTGTTTCAGGGAAAGATTTTTCACATTTTATAAAGTGTCTTTGGGCCCAGGAAGTAAATCTCATAAACCTATTAACAAAGATGTAACAGTCTGTTAGTCTAGGGCTTTTTGGTTTTGCGCTGAAAATGAGTAGGATCAAGGCTTAAAAAACTGAACTAATTTATGCTATTACATGCTTGTGTTGTTTTCCGTTTACATATTAGAGGACTGTGTGAGAGCAATTCTGGTTTAGAAAATTTTACCTTCAGATTTTCTCTTCTTTGCAGAGGACATAAGCACTAAGAGCAGTGGTAGGCTTTCTTCTGTTTATGTGACCACTTACATTTGAGCTAAGTTGAACACCACACATGCTTTTCTGCTTTCACTGGATGTCCATATGTTATTTCTACAGAAGAACGTTGTGTATGTTCTTGCTTTTGTTTTCAAACAGGTCTATGAGAGAATAAAACCCCTCCTGCATTCTTCTTACCTAACTTATATATATATGTGTGTGCATATATGTATACATACATATATTCCTCCTCTACTCTCGTTCCCCACAGTTGTCCCCTCATTGCTTTCTCCTCAAGTACTACACAAAGGCTAAGGAAAGTAATTTCAAATAGAACATATTTATAAAGATTGCCTGTTAGAAGTCATCTACAGTGCTACATTGCTTTCTGGAATGATGCAAATGAACTGGAATGAAGTGCTTTCTTAAGCAATAAATTATTAGATGGAATATGTAAACCAAACATTATATCTCACTGGTGAACACTGACTATGCAGTTCCTTCACTAGCATTGGGACTTCTGATATAAAGCTCACAATTTTTGAGTCAGAATTAGCTCTTTTAATGGATGAAATATCCTAAATATTCCATCTAAAAGCATGTTGCCTTTTTGATGTATTATTTATTTAACTATTTTTACAATCAGTCTTAGTAAAACTCTGTTCCAGTTTTTACTGTGTGAGCCTAACCTTCCCCTAGCCCAGCTGCCTGTCAGATATCACTCACAGATGTCCCTGAACAATCTTCTTTAATTAGAAAAGAAAAAGTAATCCTTTTGTGTGTGGACTTAAGCACTGACTTTTTGGACATTTTTTCTTTTTTCTATTAAGTAGACTAGTAAACTTTAACTATTAGGCAAGATTGTTTTTTAAACTTTATAATTAAAAGTCGTATCACCCTTTTCATGAAATGCTCTTTTCTTGTGGCAATACAAGCATTATTTCATGGAAGATCATTGTATTTAATAGATTTATTAGCACATAGAAATATTTAAGTCACTTTTTCACAAGAAGGTTTAATGTAAATAAGGTTATGTCTTTGTTAAGATTTTTTTTAATCTATAAAGAGTATGCTCTGAATATAGGTATATAGGTATGAATATTCATAATTCAGTATAAATTAAGTTACTACATTTAAATAAAAATAGATTCTTAGATACATTGATGATTTAATCTGATATTATCTCCTACTCTAGAGAAAAGTATCAGGAACGGTAAATCCAGGTTGTTTCCATAATACCCTGACGAAAGCCCCTGGCTATTCTTAGACACTTTCAGTCATACTAATATTGCAGTTGCTTTTTATTTGAAAAGTAAAAGGGAGACAGAAAAGTAGTCATTTGTCAAGTTTACAATTCCACATCAGTTACAAATCTTTCTTAGTTTTACCTGCTACTAACCTTCATATTTGTGCACACCTCTAATCATTTTAAAAGAACAGGAAGAAATCAGATAAAATTGGGTTACTTGCTCAGGGTCTTTAACTAGAGTTATTTTAAGGGTGTTTGATTTTTAGCCAGCACATAAGAGATGAAGACAAGCTGTTTTGCATTGTTGTGTCTTATAAGATCCTCTTCATCATTCCCTCTTTCTACTCATGGTGCTTCAAGGAACTGATTTTAGACTTTCTCAGGGAGCAGAATGAGACCTGCCTTGCTCTTTTGTTATCCACAGCAGCTCTAAGTGCTACTCCAGGCAAAAATTCCCCATGATCACCTCAGTGCCCAAGGACTTTGAATGTTCTGAGCACAAATATTCTTGCTGTTGTCTCTTCTGGACCTGTGTTGACCTCTGGGTGCTGGTTGACAGCTGTCTGAACATGACACAGCAGTGTGCCCAGGTGACCAAGAAGGTCAATGGCATCCTGGCTTCTATCAAAAGTAGTGTGGCCAGCAGGACCAGGGCAGTGATCATCCCCCTGTACTTGGCACTCGTGAGGCCACACTTTGAATCCTTATTTAGTTCTGGGCCCCTCACTGCAAGAAAGACATGGAGGTGCTGGAGTGTGTCCAGAGAAGGGCAAGGAAGCTGGTGAAGAGTCTGGAGCACAAGTTTTTTGAGGAGTAGCTGAGGGAGCTGGGATTGTTTAGCCTGGAGAAAAAGATGCTCAGGGGTGACCTTATCGCTGTTTACAACTACCTGAAAGGAGGTTGTAGCAAGGTGGGGGTCGGCCTCCCAGGAAACTAGCAACAGGAGGAGAGGACACAGCCTCAAGCTGCACCAGGTGAGGTTAAAGTTAGTGATCTGAAGGAATTTCTTCATTGGAATGGACTGCCCATAGAGGTGGTAGAGTCACTGTCCCTGGAGGTGTTCAAGAAATGACTGGACATGGCACTTAGTGTTATAGTCTAGTTGACACGATTGGACTTGATTACCTTAGAGGTCTTTTCCAATGTAAATGAGTCTGTGATTCTGCCACCTCCATTGTTTTTCCTTAGTGTATGTTCAGATGATGCAAAGCAAGCTTTTATTATTAGATATGGCTAAGGCTGAGCTCTTAAACCTGGGTTACCTACATGACCCAGGGTCAAATGTATTTCAGCTGGGTTACAAGACGTGGTTTGAACATTTCCATTCATTGTAAGGGTTTTCTAATTATAAACACTTCCTGTGCTAGTATTGCTTATGAAGTAATGGGCAATTCAGAAGAACGAAGGAGTGTATATTCTGACCCAGCATATTCCAAGATCTTGTAAGTTCAAAAAATGTAATATGAGACAAAGAGGATTTTAACAGAAAAGGAAATTAATGATCAGGATGATAGTCCTGGCAGATGGTGAGGGGAAGTTGAAAAGATAGGACTAGGAGTGTTATTTAAGGGGAAATGACACTTTTTGTGTTTTGTTCTAGACAGATTGATATTAAAATAATTATTATTGGGAGAAAAATATCTTTTGCAAAGAGTCTCAGAGTTGGAATAAACACTTCTTTCTGTGTCTGGCTTGAATAGAGGAAGTGAAAAGAAACAAACAGTGGGTGTTAAAAGAAAAGGCATCTTCTCCTAGAAAGTGTCTAATAATGAAATTCTGCTATCTGTAACTCATGAATGCTACTTTGTTGGAGTGCAGCACAGGAAAATATACCTGTATATACACTATCTAATACACTAGACTTCACCCACAAGCATAGACACTAAATTTGTCCAATCTTATTATTCCTAGTTCTGCAGGTACTGCAGTTTGAACTCTGAAATTGTGCTTCCCATGGCTACCTCAGTGACACAGAATACAGCATTAAGTAGAGTAGTTTCCATGCTTCTTTTCTTATTCCGAATAGCTGCAGACACTTAGCAGTTAGATTAACTTGTACTTTTTTTCTGAAGACTAAGCAATTCAATTTTCATATATGAACAGCATGGAGAAAGGGAGAGAAAGGGAGGAAAACAGAATAAATTTTCAGGAGGGACTATGGGAGTTCTCATCACTACTGCTTGGATCACCACCAGAAATTTACATTTTTATTCCCATAATGCATAAGGTATCTTGCAAGGAAGTGTAAGTTTTTCCTTGGACATTTTAATGCTTTTACGTCTTTCTTTCCGCATCATACATGCTTAGTTGTTTAAGGACCTAGAACAGAGAGCCTCAGAAGCAGAGGGGAAGGACATGCTGTTTATCTGACTTGTGGTCAGTTGGTAAAAGGTTTAGAATTGTTTCCATTATGAGTGGATGTGTGAGACAGAGACTGGTCCAACCTGCATCCATCTCTGTGAATTATCTTTGTGCAAAAAGAACTCAAGCCAAAAGAAAAGCCATTTGCACTGATGGATGCAATACAGAATCCTAAGACTCACAGAAGCATTTTAAAGACTGTAGTTGAAAGTGTAAAATACACAGTTTGGACAAGTAGTTCAGCTGTTAGGCAACACTGAAACATCTTTATGATGATCAAATACTTTGTAAGTATCCAGAAAATTCCCAGAAATCAGCACTGGATAGTCCAGAGTTGTCATTACAGAGCACCAATCTGACTGCAACAGGTAGTCATGTAAGTGCACTTGGTTACTGTAGCAAAAATAGCAACTTTGGTGCACTCTGACTTTCATTTTTATTCTGAAAACACAGAGTGAAAACCAGATGAAACTGCTAAAGCCTTATCAGACTTGACATGGAATTGTTGGTATTTATATGGATTCCATTTAAAGTGAAAGGTCAGGCCAGACATACTTGAAACTCAATCCTAAATCTGAAAATATTTGCCACCTGCAGCCTGGCTCAATTTTCTGGTTTGTGATGAGAAATTCAAACATTTTGTCATTAAATTCAATCCTAGATACTACACTGAAAGAAAGACAGAAGTTTATATGTGGGTTTCTTTTGGTGGAAAGCCTGTATAAGTCAGCAAAGCATCGTATATTCTTATCTTCTCAAGGTGACTAACATAACTTTCCTCTCCTTTGTCTTTGACCATAAGAATGAACCAATTAACTATTTTATGTCCATTAGGGCAAAGCTGGAGATAGACTGACCCTTATTCTACTCTCTCCAGAGTAAGACAAATTAAGTGCACTGTGTTATATTTGCTCTAATAAGCCAAACACTCCCAAGACATATTCAAGCCATCCAAGAGCAATACTAGGATAAATATGATCATGTGAACTGTCTTGTTTCTTATGCTTTGGATTTTTAGCAGGAAAAATTGTTTTCCTCTTGAGCAGATTTCTGTGAAACACACAGGAGACTGGGCTTCCATCATGTAAACAGTCAGATAACAAACAGTAGTATTTTAATCTTTGGTACTAGATGCCCACTCAGTATCTCAAAGTTGAAGAAGCTCACACTTACAGCCCGAAAATCTGGCTCCTTCCAAAAGAAACAGAGCCTGCTCTCTGAAGCACTGGAAAGAAATACTGATTGCATTGAAATCAGTGACAGACTTGTGCATTGGTACCTAGAACCAAAAAGGTTGCCAAGCCTTGGAAGAGGCTGTCCATGGAAGTGATTGAGTCACCATCCCTGGAAGTATTTAAAAGACGTGTAGATGTGGTCCTTAGGTACATGGTTTAGTGGTGGACTTGGCAGTGCTGGATTGGACTCGATGATCTTGAAACTATTTTCCAACCTAAATGACTCTGTGATTCTATTCAATGGTTTGAACTACTGAAGTCCTTTCCATTTTTTTTAGGAGTCCCTCTTTTCTCTTATTTGCTCTATCTCTTTTTCTGGGGAGTGATTAATTTACCTCTATTGAGTAATGAAAGGGAAAAAACAGGAGGTGGGAGGGTAGGTATGCATTCTCTTCCTCTTCTCTGGACTCATCGTGCTCTCCCTTATCTTCTTTCTCCTTTTTATTTGTTGTTCCTATTACCTATCTTACTTCTTTTTCATGCCTTCATTAATAAGTGATTTTTAAACTTCCCTGACTAACCTACACATTTTTTCCCCATTAATTTCATTTTCTCCTGTCACTGTCCAAAGTTGTAAATTCACCTCCTATTCTCTAATCTGTTCCTCTTCCTGTCATCACTTTATTTCAAACCTGCTCTCTGCCCTTCCTCAGCATTTTTAAAATGCATAATTTTCTCCCCTCTTCTCTTTGTCTTTTAAAGCGTTGATACCATATTCAAGCAGCAAGGGTGTTCAAAGTGGAGACAGGGATAGCAAGTCAGGAAGGAAGCTTTTATACCCATGAAATGACAAAGCAGCAGGTATCTGTGAATGCATGTTGTACCTGAATTCTCTCTTCATCCTGGGACCAGTATGGTAGAGAAGCACACTATGAAACACTGAACACACAGTCCATCAGCACTTTATGCTGTTGCTTGTAGCTGTGGGCCATTGCAGTCTATAGTAAAGGAGAGATGGAGCTATGTCAGGCTAATTCTTAACACAATAGTAGTTTACTTTCAGACCTAATAAACCATAAATCGTTTACTTTGTGTCTTGCAGCCTAAAAAGTATTACTACCTTAAAAGTTGTGTTCTTTTCTAATGGGAAGAAAAGTAGGGGGCATAGCAAAAAGCCCAAGAAGGGGTATAAAGTGGAAACAGAACAATTATTAGAAGAAAAACTTTAAACTAATTTCGCTTGCTGAAAGTATATTTAAGAAGGGGAATATATCACAATAATCAACAAGGTTTTTTGCCTTCAGCCTGTCTGAGGCCATGTGGTTTGGAGATCTGATCACTAGTCCGAAAAGGAAAGGCTGTTTGCAAGATTTCTGGGGTGTTTTTTCCTGGAAAAGGTGAGAGGACAAAAGCAGAAATCTGTGACATACACTTTTATGCCTTACAAGGAAAGTATTCATCCCTCTATCTGCCTGTCTCTCTCTGTCTCTCTCTTTCTACATGCATATATAATAGAGATCCATATGTTTCAAACTGTCACTTGGAGGCAGGTTTTTCTTTCATTTGCTGCTCTGAGGGTTAGGTTAAAGCCACAAAATTTAATACATGGCTTGAACCAATTGAATTGGATTTTGTTATTTGTTTTGCTCTTTCACATTCACTGTTCAGTATTTTCTGAAGTTTTGCATGGTATTTCCATCAGTAATAACAGTTCTGACTATTTGGAGACAGAACAATACCAAAGCAGAAGATCTTGTGTTTCAAAATTCAAACAGCATTCTGTAACAATCATGCTTGCTTAATACACCCCAAAACATTTTGTCTTATACAGCATCTGTGTAATTTTAAAACCATTTCTAAACTGATACTTTGGGTGAGCATGAGTAGCTGACTCCTTGTTGTATAAATCAGTCATTATTTTCTCATTTGTGTTTGTGCTGTCTTCCAGTACTCTTGATGTCTTTAATAGTGTGAATTTTGGTTTTGTTTCTCTTTCAGAACACTGCTTCCATTCCATTGTCTTCTCAACAGGTTCATTGGGCAGTCCTTTGCCCATTTTCATTCTCTCAGGATTTTTTTTCTTCTGTGTAACTAAACCAATTTTCTGATTAAATTGACTATTAATAGACATTATTTACATTAATTTTCACTTGTAATAGCATCGCTAGAGGGCAGTATTGATTAAATTAGGAGCACTAGTGCTCTGAAAACTTAACTGCAGAAAAGCCTCCAGTGTAAACATCATTGCATTTTTAATATCTGGTCCTGGCTTATAAATCCATTTTTCATCACAATCTATACATAAAAAGTAAAAGTAATTTTAATTGCCATGTGTATTAGACATTGCTATTTGTAACTTTAATGTGTGTAAAAGAACATTCTGTGACTTTTATGAAAAAGAATGTGCATGTAGCTTAGTAGAAAATAGATGGCATTGAAGTTACTGTAAATTATAATTTATATTCATAGCTTTAATATAAATAATTATTAAAGTACAATTTTTTAATAACAAAAATATAGGTTTGTTCATGTTTTTTTCTCAGGGATAATGCTGTAAAAAATAAATATCTTCAAATTCTGTAACTGTCTCCTTGAAAAATCTCAGTACAGTGTATTTTAAAATAATGTACATCAAAGATAACCAGAATTATAGATTAAGACACTCACTCATTTGTTCTTATTGATTTACAGGTCTCCTGACAAATGCAGCAACACAGAATCCTCGTAGGAGTGGTTTAGGCTCTCTGTGAGCTACTTAACTTAGTCAAGTTTCACTGCTGTTGATCATCATCCGTTATATGTCATCAACTCAACTGTCTGTTTCTCTGTATCTCATGAGTGACAGCATAATTCCTCTACATTATGAGCTAAAGTTTGTTCTACCATTCTAAGGATCACTGGACTAAGGAATATAGAAAAAGAGATATGCTTGGGCATTAGCAATACAAACAAGTTCATGGTTAACGTTTCATCTGCGTTATACACCACTGCTGGACTTGCTGTTACCTACATGTTTCAATCCGAAGAGTCTGCTACAATGAAGAGTATCATCCCAATCAGCCTTAGAGAAGACTGTTTTGCCTATGGGAGGACACTGAGGTGCAAAAGAGAAACTCTTCTTGTGCCCTAAACTGTCTGAATTGCTTTTATTTTCTTATACTTTCAGTATATACAATAGACCAAAGAGCAAAATCTATTTTAAAGTGGACACAATCTTACTCTTAACAGAATTATGTCATTTAATTGAAGGAGGTCTCCACAAACACGATTCCAGCTTTCAAAAAGATGAAATGTTGTTGTCCGGCAGAAGTCTTTACGGAAAGCTGCAGTAAAAACTAACTCAGAGACCTGCTCTTGAAATGCCACGTTCAAGAGAATATGATGGAGCACTGAGAGAAAATGACCTATGTTTGAAAAACTTGGACAAAAAGAACACAAACTGTCTACACGGCACCTTTATTCCTCTGTACTTAGATTGACTTTCTCGTACTAAAATCATTTTCAGTTTTAACCAGTTAAACATGCCTCTTCTACAGTTCCATTTTTGATAGTTAAAGTTGGATAATACAGTATTTGCAAAGAGCATGTTTGGTCATCTGTGGCCTATGTCTCATCTGATACACCATTTAGCACCAGAAAGCAAATTAAAGAGAAAACAAAAGTAACATTTGTTTGAAAGAGATCATTAAATGTATTTTGAAAAGCCTAAAGTTATATATTTAACAGTTTTTATATGTTGTATATTTGTAGAAAATCCTATTTAACAATTAACGTGATAACTCTGACAGTCATGACAAGTGGTTCAGAGTTAAGTTGTGTTTTATTACTTCAGTTGTCTCTGAAGTGACTGGTGTCGTTTGCTTTCTTCCATGGGGACATTCTGGATGTAAAGCATGACCAGAGAGGACTGTGTAGAAAAAGCAAAGAATAATGTTGTTTATATTACATAAATGCATTCAACCATTGCACTGTTGGAAGGCATTTTTATTTTTATTTTATTTTTATTTTTTGTCTTTATGTACTGATAAAAATAGAGTGTAAAATATTTTACTCATTGCTCTTCATAGCAAGGTTTGTTTTTCTTTCTTTCTTTCTCTTTTTCTCCCCCTACTTTTATGTAAAGGTCAGTTTGAAGCCTGTTCCTTGATCCCATTTTCAGTGTTTTACCTCATTGTTAGAAAGTCCACTTTTTTGGCATTATTGGTTAGTGAAAATTTAGCAAAGACAGCATAGACAAGGGAGAAATTATGACAAAACAGAGAAACAAAACCTTGTTCCCTTTTACCTTACCTTTTGGCATATAGGTTTGGTACATATTGGTATGATGCAATCAACAGGGGAGTTTAATTTCTTCCTGGCAAATGTGTTATGGTTTCAAGTATACTACCTAATACTCAAATTAACTTTTAGTGTTATGCTAGTTCTATTCTACTAAAGAAAAATATATAGAGATTATTCAAGTGACCATAGATGAGAGGTACAAAAATAAAAAGTTGATAAAAGAATTTTTTTTAAAGCCTGCTCAAACACTGAGGCTTATTTAATGCAGAGGTTGCAGGAAACATGACCTATATTGTATCAGTTTGTCTTCAAGTAAAATAAATATATACAAAATTCTTATTTAATCATAGGATTTTGACCAGTATCAAAGTAGCAATTAAAGCCCAGCCACTTGTAAAGTGTAATGGACTGACTGCACTATAAATGACCGATGTCAGGTTTAAAATGTCATGCAATAAGTGATGGTAAATACATTTACTGTACATGTAGACCTCAAGAGCCAGATCCTTCACTCTACCAACTCTCTGTTTTGATTTATTTTAAGGGAGCGTAGTAGCCTTATTTAGTAAACACAGAAAAATGAAAGATGTTACATCATTTTTGTTGCTTTACAGTATTCAGTTTTGTGTTGGTTCAGCTAAATTATGAAAAATAAAGAAAATCCTTTTCTAAGTGAGACTTGTTCCCTGAGCATGACGTCACCAAAGGAATTTCACCATATGATAAGGTGGGAGCACAGAGAGGGAGATGGAATTGGAAATTGAGGACATGGGTTGTGTTTTGAAGTTTTACCTTTCCATTTTCATGTCTTGGGTACCTTCAATTTGGTATGCTTAGTTACAGATCATATTAAGGTCATTTATTTTCTGGAAATCAGATCCTCTGGGAACTCGGGTATCTAAGAATGTACATTTGAAATCTTTACATCTAAAATCGTACCTTCCAATCAGTTCTGAATATGCAATCTTATGTCTTTGCTTTCTAAGTACTTTAAAAGCTCAACAAAACATAGATGTACATTGTTTATAAGGTCCACTCTGGAGAAGAACTATCAAAGGCAAAAGATTCTGCTTACTCTTCAGAGATGCATTCTAGTCGCTGAGTCTCCTGTGTACAACAGGCACCTCAAGGCACTTAAAATGTGTTTTGTGCTTTTCTCTCCTCTCCCAAAATGTACAGTTTTAAACAAACAAAATATACTGGCTGCATTTGTCACTGTGAATTACTACTCTAAGAGCAGTGGTGAAATGTTTCTCTCTCAGGAACAATATGTTTTCAGAATATTGTGAACTTTAATTTTACAAAACTAAGTTACATAAAAAATTGTTTGTTTCTGAAAGTATTTTATGTGCCTCTTCCAAAGCAGAATTTAAAACACAGAGGGGAATGTCTTATTTGAATGCTATTAAATATCCTTCATTTCTCAGCTTGCAAACAAGTAACTTTTTCAAAACATACTTGAAAGGGAACAGAATAATACATAAAAACGCATAATAGACTAATAAAAACAACCTCCAGAAATGCAGTAAACCTTTAAAATTTTTTTGAAAAAAGCTTCTCTGCAGCTTTCTGTTAGCCGAGGCAAGGACACATTAAACTACTGCTTTTAATATCTGGGATATCAAATGGAGCAAACATTAGCACACTGCAGCAATCATTGTGACACATCATTCACCAATTTCATAATTATGCATTTAGCTTTTTTTTTCCCCCGAATTCATTTCTTCTCAGCACTAGATCAGGTTTTATGCATGTGATATCCTCAATCATTCAGTTGTTTACTGAAATTGTACCCACGTGCTGTTGCATAAATCTTTAGCCCAGGCACTTACTATCTCTTATAGCCCATTCATCACAATCCTGAGTACTAATTAGAGTTTCCAGAAGAAAATAAAGAATTCAACACTGTGTCTGAGAAGCCTATATAGCTATGAGGAACAACTGAACTAGGTGGTGGTCAATGATTGGTTGACAGGAACATTGCAGCACTGACTGCCTGGGTGAGTGGACTAGTGGAAAGAAAAAATGAACAAGCCAACACTGGATGTAGCACAGGAAGCCAAAAAAGCTCCTCCAAAATTGGTATATTTATTCAAGGGGGGGGAAAAACCAAACAGTTTTTCATCATATAAGCCTACATGTATGCAGTATCTTTTCCAATTAAAAAAATGCAGAAGAAGGCTTTTCCTTGTAAACATCTTTGTACAATGTATATCAGGAATCACATATACGTGAGTAACAACCAAAGGCAGGAACGGGTTGACTATTTTTTCTTTCTCTCACATTGAAGCAACGAATCTCACACTGGGCTTAGAACGCAAATAAGGATGGGCAGAAAACACAATATTCTATATTGTAGAGCGCAGATTTCAAACTGGGGCTTGAGTAAAGAAAGGAAGTCAAGAAGGAAACTGAAAAAAAACCACAATCAACACCAGAGAAAAATAAAATTTTTAATTTCAAAGTATTTACTGTTTAATAAGTGCTTTCTAGTATTCAATACATGCTAGGGGAGTCACAAGGAGTAAAATTTGAAACAAGGAATTAGGAAAGAAAATATTATTTTAACTGCAGAGATGAGAGTTTTACAGATAATGTGGTTGTCTTCTTTAGAGATATAAATCCCATTAAAATCAGAGACCCATGGGTAATATATAAAAGGTAATTCTGTCACTGATTAAAAATAAACTAAAAAATGGAAACTAAATTAAAAAGTGGAAGTAAATGACAATAAGCCAGAATAAACAGTGACTAATAATAAGCCATTCTGCGGGAGGATCAACACAAGTTCTTGTACTGCTTTTGACAATGAATGAAATATGAACACAGGTTGCATGGTTTGTTACTATCAGTAAATTACACAGATTAGCGAAGATATGGGAGGCCTATGAATATATGAGGATATTTGGGTCACCAGATATTAACAGAAAATGGAAAACTGAAAACCAAGAATGTCAATTTATCATTTGTCACACTATCAATGTAATTGTGGCTTCAGTTATGTCAATTTTAGGACAGATGTGAAAAAGGGACTCTCCTCTTGAAGCAGGTAGTAATATTGGTTCCAAGCTGCTCAGTGCCTAGGTCAAGTCACTGATTTCATATGATAATCCTGTGTTAGCTATGCCTTTTTAGAGTTACAGCAAGCCATTGAAGGTCCCTTAGGATACATATCTGTAGTCACAGAGCACAAGGTGCTCATGGCACCTGTGTCCTCCACAGCTGGCTTGGACTGACTGTGACCACAATTTTCTAGGTTTGATATTGCCAATATAAGACTAATGACAGTGATGTCAAAACACTGTGTGGTACTGCACTGATGCAAAATGATGTGTGCAAATGAAGAAAGTTGATTACCATATAATCAAAAAGCAGCTTTTCTAAAAATATTGATAAATAGCATGCAAAGAACAGCTGCAGTAAAAAAAAAAACTGAAACACACACACACAAAAAAACCCAAAACACACAAAAAACCCCCCAGCAAAACAAAGCACCATAA